GTACGGGCGCGACACTGAGGGTTGCGATCCGTTGCCGGACATGAAAAAAGACAAAAAGGAAAAAAAAAAAAGGGTAGATGGAGCCGGGGATAGCACAGGGATTCCTCTCATTTCGAAGTTGGTGTTCAGAGAAAAGTATTAGAGATAATCAGATTTGAGTACAGAGGTTTGTCCCACCACTGTGTATGCGTAACTGTAAATGTCTGAAAGCTCGGTAATAGTGCACAGCTTCAGTCATGACCTCTCTCTCCCTATAGTAGAAAATATGCAGCCATTAAATCTGTGCACGTGGATGCTAATGGCTTTGCGGATGACACCCGGGAAGAAGGTACACAGGAGTGTTCACTGAGAAGCATAGGGATACAGATGGCTTGAGCCCACTTTAGTTAATATGTATAATAAAGAAACTGAGTGATGTATTTGCTTATATTTAATCATTATATAAAAGCCAGGATGACTCTGTCTTTTGCCTATGGTGACTTCACCTTAAATAAATATAATTAATTATTTCTGTTAGAAATAAGAAATATAGGGCTGGCCCGGTGGCGCACTGCTACAGTGCGCCGCTTGGGAGTGAGGCGGCGCTCCCGCCGAGGGTTCGGATCCCACATGCAGACCAGTTCCTGCTCGCTGGCTGAGCGAGGTGCGGGGGCGACACCGAGGGTTGTGATCCCGTTGCCGGTCCCGGTCTGGTACGGGCGCGACACTGAGGGTTGCGATCCGTTGCCGGACATGAAAAAAGACAAAAAGGAAAAAAAAAAGAAAGAAAGAAGAAATATACAACCATTTTCTAGAAGCATACACTAGAAGTGGGAGGTGAAATGATACATGATTTTCATCCTCATTCCTTTCTGGGTTGTCAGATTTGTGTTCATAAGGAGACATATTGCTTCTGTAAGTGGAGAGAATTATACAGCCATTTCATTTTGAGAAAACATATTTTAGATTAAGCATTCTCTTTCCTTACTTTGCTGGTGCCTGAACCACAGGCTCCCTGGTATGACCCCCAGGGGGATTGAAGTCATACGAGGTGCAATGGGGGAGGAGCCTTCTGAGTACACACACATTCGGGATTGGGAAGTCATCGTGTTTACAAGTTCTCTTAAATCTTCCTTTAAAATAATGCATAGTACAATGTGCATTTCCTGTTGCTGGCCAGTGTTGCCTTGTTCTGTCCAGTGATGTTATTACAGTCATCCTCAGTGTCAAGTTCGTATTGTCCCTCTACAGGAAGAACGCCTCAGGCGGGGCGATGACCTCAGATTACAGATGGCCCTCGAAGAAAGCCGAAGAGACACAGTTAAAGTTCCAAAAAAGAAAGAGGTAAGAGCTTGCCAGGAAGGTGAATGTTTGAGATTGTCCTGTGGTAGTTGCTGCCACACGCCCCCCTCGCCTGCAGCGCGGGCATCACATGCAGTGAGTTCTCCAACCTCAGCAGTAACTGCATGCCTGTGGAGAGCCAGGAGCAAGGGAGGACGCCACTGAAACACACCCGTGCTGAGCAGACACTTAATGTCCCAGTGCTGTGTTCCCCCATCTGTGGCATGAGGATGATAATAGCACCACCTCCTGCAGTTATGGCAGCTATTAAATATGCTGACTGTTGTGCTTTGGAACACTTTCTTGGCACAGGGTAAGCCCCCAGTAGTGCTGGTCTTCATCATTGTTGTCAGTACTCTGTGCCAGGCTGTGGCTCTGCTCCTGACAAGCTCATCACCATCTGGTCAGGAGATAGACCCCCGACCCCCACCACAGCACAGGGGTTGGAGCTCCAGTGGCCTCCCCTGTTATGGTTGTGTGGTGTCTCAGATGACAGACAGGTGGTCATGGGAATGGGGAGGGTGGAGGCAGGCCTGAGGAGAGAGGGCTCCTGGGCTAGACCCTGGATGGTGGCTGGCAGCTTGGGGGGATAAGGCCAGTGGAGAGGGATGGCATTCTGGAGGGAGGCCGCAGCCAGGGCAAAAGACAGTGATATCCTTGAAAAGTTTGCAGAGCCATGATGTCTGAAAGCGGTGGGGCATTTGACACACAGTAAGCAGCATGGTGTGGTGAGGCCTGGCTGTGCTGGGAAGCAGCAATGTTAGTGCAGCTGGCAGGGATGTGGCAGGAGATAGGGCAGCTCAGTTTCCAAGTTCCTTCTGGCCTCTCCCAGAACATGGTGTGGTGAGGCCTGGCTGTGCTGGGAAGCAGCAATGTTAGTGCAGCTGGCAGGGATGCGGCAGGAGATAGGGCAGCTCAGTTTCCAAGTTCCTTCTGGCCTCTCCCAGAGGGCCCCTCCTGTAGTAAGAGGTACAGGTGATATTTAGGGCTAATGCATGGATGTTTGCTCTAACTGTAGCAAAGTAAAACTGTCCCCTTCTCTTTGTCTTACAAGCACGGCTCCCACCCACAGCAGACCACTCTCTTGGATTTAATGGATGCTCTCCCCAGCTCAGGCCCTGCTGCCCAGAAAGCGGAGCCCTGGGGCCCATCAGCCTCTGCTAACCAGACCAACCCCTGGGGCGGGCCAGCAGCTCCCGTGAACACTTTGGACCCCTGGCCGTCATTTGGTAAAGACCCCATACTGGTCTCCCATGCTTGCCTGTGGGCTGGGTGGGGGGCAGGGCGCGCTTCTTGCTGTCTGGCCTGGCCTGGCTGATGGTGCTGGTGTTCAGGCTTCTCCACTCCTGCAGTGATGTCCAGCAGGCCCTGGCCCTCCTCCTTGAGGATGGTGGCACAGCATCCTCTTTCTTTCCGTTCTGAGTGGTTTTCTGCTTTGGTGGAAGGAAAGCTTGCTTGCTCTCTGCCTCTGACTTGCACCAGAAATGACTTGTCTCTTCTCTGGGACACATTTCGACACTCTCTGCCTCAGAATTGCACCCAGCATCCCAGCTTAAGAAAAGGTAATACATAGCATGAAACCTCTAAATCAAGTTGCTGTAATTTGCTGGAAATTTTGATGTGTTTACCACCACTGCCAATGAAAAGGGGATACATTTGCTGTAATTCTTCTTTCTTGTTCTTTAAAGCAATAGTAAATCAGTTTAATAGGCCAAATGAATATTTTAAGGCTTTGCCTAATGTCAAACGTGAAAGAATTTGAAACATGAGCATGACACAATTGGTTTGATCTGGGTGATGGTCTTGGGCACGTGAGTTTCTTCATCCCTGGGCAGGGGGCTTGGCCTGGCAGGCTTGCTGAGGGTTTTCTGGCCTGGTGCCCTGGGAGGCCCCCACTGTTCTTCTGAACCCTGTGGCCATGGCTGGCCTGTGGGCCCCCTGTGTAGGAACCTCGAACATGTATGTGGTGTCATCTTGCCTACATCTCTTGGAGTCCCTGTTTCCCCAAACTAGAGCCATCTTTTGTATTCAGCTCAGTCCCCTGGATGTTTGCTGAAGTGTACCAAATGCTGGGCTCTGTCCTGCCATGCAGGAACCCTGAGACGAACAGGTAATGATCCCTGTTGTTAAGGCCCTGTTAGGTGTGGGCAGGATGGGAACACAGCATAGTAGTGCCATGTTGCCCAGGCCTGGTTATGGTTGGAGGTTATTGAGAGTATCCGAGGGAGGGACTCAGCCCCTGGGTCTGGGGGTCCAGGGACGTGAGGCAAGTATTTTGGCAAAGGGCTGATTCCATTGAGTCTTCAGGAAAGAGCAGGTGGCGAGGCAGCGAAGACTAGGCTTGTGAGAAAGCATGGGGGTATGGAATGCTGGAGTGAATACAGGTGCAGGACCTGCCCAATGTGCAGCCGGCAGCAGGGGGTCACTCAGGGCCTGGACTGAGCCTTGCCAAATGCTGGGACTTGGTCCAGGAGGCGGTGTCAGCCCCAGATATCCTTTGGTGCAGCTGTTGGCCTCAGTGACCCTGGCGGAGCCCCACACCCCTTTGGCAGGAGTCCTCTGGGCCTTGGGCAAAGCCCAGGCAAAGTTTACCCCAGTTTTCACTCCTTGAAGACCAATTCCAGGGCTGCTCGGGAGCTTGGTTCCCACAGTTTGTCGCCTGGCCTGCTGTGCCTCTCCCTGAGGTGACAGTTGCTACAGTCTTGCTGAGCACTCATGGGGACCTTGTGAAGCAGGTGGGCCGGAGTGCCGCATGGGGTGCTGCCCTGGGGACAGCATGTCTTTCCAGACAGTGGCTTTGACTTTATTTTTACATCTGAAAAATGATTCTTCTGTAAAGTGATGGCCACTTTACGTTATGGATAGGATGTTCTTCAGGAAACACTGTTCAGTTTAATGGATCATTAAACTGATGGGTAGTTTTCTCAGTACCCAGAAAAGAAAGTGGTTACACCAGGAGCCAGGTGAGTTAAATTAGATTAAATTCTGCTGAGTCAGCGGTTGATTCTTGGGAGGGGTTCCGCTGTAGGAGGGAGATTTCATTTTCACTTGTTAACTGTTCATGCTGTTTGACTTGTTTACCAGGGGTGAGTTGTACCTTCTCAGGAGGAACAAAATATCAATTATTTTTTTAAATGCCCAGCCTTTCATTTGGCTGGTGGACAGCACTGTGCCTTGGACTTGAGTGTCTTGGGCTGCGCGGGGCCAACCTTGGAGGGAGTGTTCTGGCAGATGGAGCAGCACCGCCTCCAGGGGTTGGAGTCCTCCCAAGGCTGCGGGGAGCAGGGCCTGCTAGGGAAGTAGCTGAGCATCGCCTGGGGACTCCACCCATGTTGCTCTGCTCTTCCCATTTTATTTTAATTTAGATAAAATTCACCATTTTAATAATTTCAAAGTGGACAATTCAGTGGTTTTTAGCACATTCACAGTGTTGTGCTACCACCCCCACTAACTAATTCCAGAACATTTCCATCACCCCAGAAAGAAACGCCCATGCTGAGCCCCTGGCAACTATCAGTCTGCTTTCTGTCTTGAAGGATTTGCTTGATCTGAATATTTTATATAAATGGAATCATACAATATGTGGTCTTTTGTGACTGGCTTCTTTCATTTAGCTTCATGTTCAAGGTTGGCCTGATGTCGGAGGTAGGGTCTAGGGGGCCCAATAGTCGGCCTTAACCCACCCTATGCACCCAGTCCTCTTACTAGGTTCTTGACTCCGCCACAGGAAAGAATTCAAGGGCAGAGTCACAGTCAAAAGTGAGAACAAGTTTAATATAATAGATAAGAAATACAGGTTCCACAGAGAGAGTGCAGTTCCATAGACTGAGCAGGGCCTACACCAGGTCTAACACAAAAGCAAGTTCAGTACAGACATCAAGTCTTACACAAAAACCAGAAAAACATACTTAAAGTCCACTACAAAGTGTAGGCTGGCTCAAGAGAGTGAGCAGCCACCTGCTGTAAGTTTGATACAAAATAAAGTATACACACCTCAGTCAGCAAACCACAGGTTGCCTCCAGGGTTGCCTCCAGGAGGGCAACAACCCTGCCTTTGCCTGAGATTTGGCTTTTATAGTATCTTACCTAATGAATATTCAATTAAGGGGTGGTTCCCAGTGATGTAACATTTATTCTTCCACACGCTCAGTCTCTTCCTGGAGCAAGTTCACTGGTCAAATCCCATCACACGCACCAGGCACATTCAAGAATATTCTGTGCTCTCTAGTGGAAGGTCATTCAGTTTACCAGGGTTATATAACCCCTCTCTACTGAGCATGCCCAGTTGCTGGATATGCATAAGCCAGTCTCTTGTGGTCTCACTTTCCCCTGCTGGTGCTGAAAATAGGTCTAACTGGCAACAGTAACTTTCCTCCAGGGGAGAGCCCAGAGGAGGGGGCCTGAGACCTCAGGGAGTGGCTGGAAACCCAGAGGTATGTCCTGAAACCCAAGCCCAGGGAAACTGAATGGTGCTGAAAATAGGTCTAACTGGCAACAGTAACTTTCCTCCAGGGGAGAGCCCAGAGGAGAGGGCCTAAGACCTCAGGGAGTGGCTGGAAACCCAGAGGTATGTCCTGAAACCCAAGCCCAGGGAAACTGAACACCTCCCATATCAGGCCTATGTTGTAGCATGTATCATTCATTCCTTTTAATGGCCGAGTAATATTCCATTGTGTAGATATACAAGATTTTGTTTAACCATTCATCAATTGATGAACATTTGAGCTGTTTCCACTTTTTGGCTATTATCAATCCAGTTGTTTAAAGAGAAGATCAAAACCTGAATTTTTGAAATCTATTAATATTTAAATATTGGCAGTGAATTTAAACAATTAAGAGTGTGGTTGGGGCTAATCAAAATCTGTCTGAAGGTGCCATATGTGGCTGGTGGGCTGCCAATTTGCTGTCTCATGCCACTTGCTCAACCCAGGGCCTCCCCTCATTCTTATGTACTTGGCGTTTTTACCAGTGACTTGGGGAGGAAACAGGGCACCAAAGCCCAGGGAGGCTGTGAATTCCTCTGGGCTCACACAGCAAGTTAGGAGTGGGCTCAATGCTTATGGCACCACATCCTGGACTTGTCACACTGTCCTGGATTGCTGCAAAGTCCTTCTGTGGCCCTGGCATGTTCTGGAAAGGTCACCTCAAATTCCAGCATTGAGAGAGAACCCTTGTTAAAATGTTAGCTTATCTGCTTCCTGTTTTTTTCTGGACATTATGTTTTTACTTAGTTGAGGCTGTATTATATATACAATTTTACATGGATATACACACGTTTGTGTGCGTGTGTGTATATATATATATACACACACTCACTTTAATTTGTGCAATGTCATGAGCATTTCCAGGCATCATTAGAAACTCTAAACAAAATGGCTCCAGTGGAACATCATGTGGCTGTACTGTTGTTTACTCAGCAGCCTGGTGATGTCCACAGAGGTGGTTTTGTGGTTCTAGCACTCTACTTTCAATAGAGAAAGACATTAAAATTACAGTGGTCTCTTAAGAATCCTTGGTGGTGAAAAAAAAAAAATTTAAAAAAAAAAAAAAGGGGGCCGGCCCGGTGGCACACTGCTACAGTGCGCCGCTTGGGAGCGCGGTGGCGCTCCCGCCGAGGGTTCGGATCCCACATACAGACCGGTTCCCGCTCACTGGCTGAGCGAGGTGCGGGCGCAGCACCGAGGGTTGCGATCCATTGCCAGACACGAAAAAAAGACAAAAAAAAAAAAAAGACAAAAAAAAAAAAGAATCCTTGGTGGTGGCACTGACCAGCTCTGTAGGAGAATGGCGTTATGCTAGCTCGCAGGTCATGGACATGTGTCAGCAGACCCTTTGCTCCCTTGGTCCACTGACAGCTCCATAGCAAGAGTGTGGCATTGTAGCTACTCTCTGTCTCTAGTTCAGTCCAGTAGTGCTCATTTTCAGGGCCACCCTCCATCCCAAGATGCATTCATAAATGAGAGAGATTAGAATATCTTCCCACAGCCTCTGGATGAAAGCTGCGCTGTCTTGAAAGCCACTGTTTGTATGAGCCCAGTCATAGTTCTTTCCAGGCAGCTCTGGGAGCAGGTTGGCCAAGTGGCCTTGGGAGGAAATGCTCAGGGCTGAGAGAAGGGAAATGAGAGCCTGCCAGGTCAGCAGGGCACTTCCTCCTCTGTGTCAGACACACAAAGCAGCCACCTGGTCTGAGGAGGGCTCACAGCCTGGCGATTCAGAAGGCCTTGGCGGC